TTGAAATCGAAAGAGCAGAGTTTGTAAAAAGAAAACATTGATGATTAAAATTTCTCACTGTCTAACTGTTTTTTTCATTATCATTATTGAATGTCAACCTCCAAGTCATACTTTAGGCGCCTAGTAACCATGTTGCGGGTGTCTCGACAGAATAGCGACCTCAGCATTGTTTTGGAAACATGAACCACAGAAGTAGCAAGCGTATAAGAGCAACCTCAATGTTGTTGATTAGTCGCCTCATCAATCTAAATAGCCGAAAGCAAACAATATGTTCTGCCCCACAGACATGGGTGGTTTGAAGTCATCGCCCACACCATCAATGTTTGCTGGTCAGTAACTCCACCCTCCCTCCTTTTGTGTTGTTAGGCTCATGTTAAATAATTAAAAGAAACTATTGAGGTAAAGTGGTCATATCGATTGTGACACTTGTATGTAATTAGCTTTCAGAAGCTATAACCGTAGTATTTACAACTGTGAATCAAACTATCAAGCTCAACAGGATGAGTCTAATAATGGACATTGGCAGTCACCCTTAGGATACCAACGGGGATTTTAATTGTGTCATCAGAGCACTATAAGCAGGTTCTAGTATGATTCAGTACTTAGGCAAACAAGTAATAATGTATGGAACGGCTTTACCAATCAAAAATATACTGGGTCATAGTGCCGCAGTTATAATGAATATGAAAAGAAATATTTGCAAAACAGATTATATGAACTATTCATCTAGTCTGTTAGTCGAGTATCGACATCCTCATTAAGATTTCAATACATTTAAAAACAAAGTAGTGATTTCTAGGCACACATTCAAAGGATTGGATAAAATTAGTTTTACGAAAACGAGATGGAGTGAAGGAAGTTCCAAGAAACAATCAGAAGACTGATGTATGAGAGTAAGCATCATCAGAGTTAGCATGGTCGATGAAAATGTCTGTGTATCGTGTGATGCGATAACTAGACAGATTGAGCTACAACATTAAAACAGCAATCGGAATTCGTGAAAAAATGACACTTAACGCCTGTTCAAAAATCTGGTGCATTCCCACTACTATTGTCTTGAAAAGGTATGCAGAATCCCTCTGCTCACAAATACGTGACTCGATTGGAGATTGACTGAAGTCACATCAACTGCCCGCTGAATAGAAACAAGCTACTCTCTCTCGCTCTCTTCAATCTTCAAAGAAGGAGATAGGAAGGACCCAGTCAGTTACAGACCAGTCGCATTTCTACCAATACTTGCATGTTGAGAGTCCATCATCGTAAGCCTTATCTTTGCTACACTAAGGCATATTATACACGTTTGAGAGAAAACCTCCTACTTGTCACATGGTCACGGGACTGGTGGAGGCTGATATTAGATCGTCTATGGCAAACAGTGAGGGACATCATCTAAAATGCTGTCGTAGACAATGTACCTCAGACACACCACACATCCAGAAATAGAAGAACATAGGTTACGTACGGCCTTGATCGCTTGCTATGGGCGAAGAGCAGAGCATGACACAAGGGGAAGGTTACGTTGAAGGATTCCGACCGTAGTTCTTACTTGGTATTGAAAAACAGATTCACTATCAAAGTTAGAAGTGATATGAGACGCTTTCAGATAAGGCTAGCTGCCAAAATACTGGCAACGCCTAAGCATCTGTTGAGGTTCATCACTAAAGAAAACCTATGAGTCAAGGTCTGTGTTCTTTCACAGGTCCGAATAAGGACGACCTCACCAGCCGAGAGGTGGCTGAGATCTTCAACACAAACTTCAGCGATCGCTTAACTCAGGTATCCACATGTTCAGAGTACTACGCAAACCCAGTGCCAGCTTACGACTTAGGGGATATCCGTATCACTCCTGACTCAATACTAAGGGAACTAAAATGCTTACACCCAGGAAAGTCACCCGGTTGTGACAATATTCACCACATTGTCTGGAAACAATGTGCAGAAGATCTCAGTTCAGCGATATATATGATCTGTTCAGGCATTCACTGAAGTCACATCAACTGCCTGCTGAATAGAAACAAGCTGCTCTCTCTCTCGCTCTCTCTTCAATCTTCAAAGAAGGAGATAGGAAGGACCCAGTCAGTTACAGACCAGTCACATTACTACCAATACTACCAAACGTAATGGAGGGGCGGGTGAACGAACAGGTGAGGGAGTACGTGGATAAGATCAGAATACTTCATGAAGCTGAACAAGGTTTTCGGAAAGGCAGGTTGTGCCCTTCCGATATTACTATTGCACATAGTGCCAGGTCCGAAAATTAACGGTGGAGGCAATGTTTTTCAAATTCTCAAAAGCCTTCGACTCAGTAACCCACGCACTCCTAATTGCGAACGTTGCGGGAATGGGCTTCGCTGACCCACACGTATCTTGGCTCAGAAGCTGCTTTGAGAATAGGAAGTTTCCTACCAAGGTAAATAGAGTGAACGTGATTGAGGTATATTAGGACCTGACACTCATTGAGTTATGGGCGCGTAATCCCGGTTCAAAACTAAACCAGCCGAAGAGTCACGTCATGTACATTCTGTCCCACAGGACGCAAACGACTTACATCCTCTATGGTTATCCATTACCTACGGTCTGCTCAGAGTACGATCGCGGTTCAATAACTACTGAAAGCATGCATACCAGCTCGAACTATATGAGGGACGCAGCCGCTTCTAATGCAACTCCTCACTTTATGCATAGGTAACTTAGTACTATCACCCAACAATTATTCCTAATGTTGTTTATGACATATGAACGACCACACCTTAATGTTCACAACGACGTAGAATCACCTCCATCCAACTAACTGAATCTCTTGTTTCGAGTGTAGATATGAGCAACAAAATGGGTGTTGCTGTTGGAAACAAAACTTAAGTTGATGGACATCAGCATTTGGGATTATTCTCTCTCAGTTACAGTAGAATCGGAATTGATCTGAAAACCAGGTCATATCATCCCAGAATGAACATCTTGAGTTTTTGTTCCTTGATTTTATTTTGTTTCGCGTTGCGCTAGACTTACACTAAAAATTTACTGGATAACCCATTCCTACAGCAAAATGTGTAATAACTCAAAGCTCGATAGATACGCTCTGTATGCAAGCTCATAATATATGCTTGCATTGTTGGATTTATTAGGAGAGGATCTCTTTTTAATGGTTTGAGGGCCTGCAGGAATCGACAAGTGTAGTTTAAAAAGAACTCTAACAGATTGAGGTTGACAAATGTATCCCTTTCTCAACAAAGTTTACCATTGGATAATCACTGAGTTTTCACCAGTATCTTGTTTGCGAACTGTTCTACCAACTGCAAACAACCATCTATGATAGCCTGAATGGATAAAATCAATTCAACAATGACGATCACAAAGTAAAAACTATTGATGAGTTTTTGAAAAACTGAGAGCTGTTTCCTTCTTTTTCCAGGCTTTTGAATTATTATTCGACAAATAGATCGACACCGATTGAACACCAATGAATACATGGAACAGTGCTGAAGGAACAATAACCAAGGAAAAAGATATTCCTTGCTGGATGATAGTTGGTGAAAAAGATTTCGAGATATCAGAACATTGAAAAGCAACTGAAGGTCATGGAAACAGGGAGGACGTCCTGGTTATAGGGATTGTAACGCATTCGAAACCTTACTCTATCAACTCCTAGTTTCGTTTATCAGATTGTCTTAATCTCACGCTGGCTTTATATCTGGTTGCTGTCTGTTTATTCGTATGTTGCATGTAAGTGCATTCTATGTGCTTACTGAGTCGTCGGCTCATCTTTTTCACTTCCAATATCCAATATCTTTTTCACGAGATAGTGTAAACAAGTTTGATTTCTTCGCGCTCGATTCTTGTTCTTTCGGTACGGTTTCTTCTTCCAGAGAATCTCGTACGCTGCTCCTCACATCCCACCCAGCACACAAGGTACCTTCGCGTTAAACGCAAACCAACTAAACGCTGAAGTTAGAGCATAAATCGTCAACCGTATCGTAACAGGTAAAGTAACTTCTAACTAGACGTAAATCTACCCGAGGACAAACGTTTTATTTGTTTGGAAAATCAGAACTACAATTATACAATACTCGATTTGCTTTAAATTTTGACGGAAATTATTTTTTACTGCCACATAATAGAAATTATCCTCTTAAGCTCTCATATGCCTGTACTTAACAATCAAATAATACCTTTTCCTAAATAGTAACTGAAGGTAAAGTGGGTGGACGACAGTGAATTATTACTCACTCAGAAGTGTCGGCCCATAAAGCAATATATTTGTATTCGACACGCAAATGGATACTGAGCATTTATATTTGAAATATCTGAGTCTGAATATTTTATTTATCTACCTTACTTCTGGTAGGCTACTTATTCTTGTGTATGGTTCACCTATATGGCTACGAAGTGGTTTTTTTTGCCTATTTCCACTTTTTGATTTTAAATCCTTATCCTATATTCAAAACTCTGACTATGGATAACATAGAGACCTAAAAACCTGTTTAGGTCAGTTCTTCGTGTTCGGGATGAACAATACATGTCCACTGGGACGAGTTTATGCCGTTGTTGCTTTGATTTGGATAGAATAACCTGGAGAAGATATCACTAGATGAATCACGTACGTAAAATTGCTCCACAGTCCGCAAAAGTTTTGTTCACCTCCACTCTACCCATTTATTAGAGCTGTTTCCTAACTGACTAAGAACCGGTTTGAAGCTCTTCAGCCGTTTTAGCTCTTCCCTAACGCATATTTTTACTTTAAGCTCCCGGTTCCGGGTTATCTTAGCCCTACATTTTCATTATTGCTAATTGTTGTCGATTGCTTCTAATAATAAATGTAGCTTCACTCTATGTACTTACTGAGTCGCCCGGTAAATTTCTGTTTTATTATTCTCTCTTCTAGATTCTGTTCCACACAACGCACCTGAATAGACTCAAACCTACCTAGAGCCGAACGTTACAAGTCCACTTTGTACCAAGTTACCATGTGGTCCACCAAGCTTAGGGGTTTCAACGATGTTTTGATGTGTCAAGCCTTCCGAAGGTACTCCGCCAAAGCAAATACTTTCGACATAACTATTGTTGGAGGTGGAATTGTAGGTTTAGCAACTGCTCGTGAACTAATACTTCGGTATCCGAAACTCAAATTTGCTCTTTTGGAAAAGGAAGCAGACTTGGGAATGCATCAGTCTGGTCATAACAGTGGTGTAATTCATGGAGGTATTTACTACACTCCCGGCTCTCTAAAAGCTAAGCTATGCGTTGAAGGTTTGAAGAAGTCATATCAATATTTTGAAGCAAACAAAGTGCCTTATAAGAAATGTGGGAAATTGATTGTTGCGGTTAATGAAATCGAGCTTCCCCGTTTAGATAAACTGTACAATTTCGCTCAAAAAAATAGTGTGCCTAATGTTTCTCTCATTTCGGGCGACAAGATACAAGAAATCGAGCCTAATTGTGTTGGTTTGAAAGCCATTCATTCTCCTGAAACAGGAATAGTTGATTGGAGAGCAGTAACTTTATCGTATGCCAAGAATTTCGTTGCATCTGGTGGGACTATTTATAAGTCCTTCAATGTAGGCGAAATCTCAGAAAAAAAAGAGGACGTGGATCACCCTATTTTAATCAAAAACCTTAATAGTGGATCCAAAGATTCGAACCATATTTCGCATGTCACATGTAAGTATGTGATTACTTGCACAGGTTTACAGTCTGATCGTGTTGCTAAGATGTCCGGTTGTTCTCTAAATCCATCCATAGTACCATTCCGAGGTAATTACCTAGTTTTAAAACCAGAGAATTCTTCTTTAATAAATGGAAATATATATCCTGTACCTGATCCTCGTTTCCCTTTCTTGGGTGTCCATTTCACTCCACGTATGGATGGATCGGTTTGGCTTGGGCCAAATGCTGTTCTCTCTTTTGATCGGGAAGGTTATGGGCGTTTCAGTTTTAACTTGAAAGACTCCCTTGATATCTTAACTGATTCCGGACTCCGAAAACTCGTACTCCGTTATTTACGTGTTGGTTTGAGTGAGATTATTAGTGATATGTTTATTAGTCGCCAGGTTAAACAGCTTCAAATGTATGTACCAACCTTAAATGCTAAAGATGTCTCCAGGGGCCCATCGGGAATAAGAGCCCAAGCAGTTAATTCGGATGGGACTTTGGTGGACGACTTTGTGGTTCATTTTGGTGACGGTGCGATTGGTAAAAGAGTTATGCATGTACGTAATGCACCATCACCAGCCGCTACAGCCTCCCTGGCTATTGGTTGTGTTCTGGCTGATAAAGCACAAGAGTGCTTTGAACTACCATCTGGTGAATCAAGGAGTTTTGTTTAAACCCCTTAGCATGCTCATTCATATAACTATTGCCTTTTCTGATGTTTTACACCTACAATAACTTAAATTCTAAAAAAATTGACATTTACTTTATTAACCCTAGCCTAGTTGATCTGATGATTCAAACTGTGTACAACTGTTGTATCTCCTTGTAAATACTAAACATGTGATACTATATTGTAAATAATTACGTGTAAGCTTGTAATCAATAATAATTGATGATAATATAAAACTTGTTAAAACCATTTTATTTGTTGCTTTACGACGCTATTTCTTTGTACGTTGAATTTAGCCGACTAACCCAGCACATCACGCATGTCGATAAACAGAGTTTTTTGATGGGTTGTATTCATAAATACAATCACTAATATATTAAAGATAAACTACATTGTATGATCATTAGGTTCTTCGGAAATATTCTTATGTAGTGTTCATTTTATAATTTTGTTAAATAATAATATCCTAGTTGTAAAACATTCTAATTGGAAGATTCAGCTTGTGTATGTAGATAGCAGTTTATAATCTCATCTCAATTACTGTTGAGTGTTTAAATATCAGAATAAATCAACTTTAGATGGTAAGACACGTTTCGGTCATTAAGTAATACTCGACGTAACGTAGTGCTAGTAAATTTCTGTCCCTCAAGTCACCATTCTGTACCTCGGATTTAAAACCAATTAAAAACCTAATTCGTTATTAGCTTCAGGTTTCCTTCACATCCAGTTTATGAATAGCAACACTGAGTAATCTGCTCTGGCTGCATTACCACCTGATTGATAGAATTCAGTCACCACTATGAGCGAAACGGTAATGACAGTCCTTCAGTCAGTTACGCCGTAGAACTTCGTACGTATGTACACCAGTTCCAGTCGCCATACCACATTAGTGCAGAGACGTAATTGTCAAATCAAATCGCATAGTAGTAGATGAAGTAGAAGTATTAGCGGTAATCGGAGAGACTAGGATTCGATGGTATTATTCAAGAAGTAGAATCTAGTTAAATAAACTTAAACAAAGAAAGATAAATGTGATGGAGAATTCAGGAAGTTAGGATTTGACAGAACACAAAGAAGGGATGCACCTGGGCTACTGCAAATGGATTTCGTAGGTTGCCGGTTTTCAATCACAGGTGTCTCCGAAGCATTGCTCGAGCATCATGGGACAACCGAGTAAGGTAAGGATGGCAGGTCAATAGAAAGGTATTGAGACTTCACCAGTGGAGATGGTTCAGACATGTGTTACGAATATCCAGCTATCGACTGCCCCGACGAGCCATGCTTTGTAGTGTAGGAGTAGGTTAGAAGAAATCCAGGGGTGGCCAAACCAAAACATGGCGGAAATCCATAAAGTCACTGACAAGTGGACTGAGTCATCTTGGTAAGCGTCGACTGCCTGGTTGTTGTCCCCGAGACGATAGTAATCGATGGTTAAAGATCTTGTGACTTTATGGATTTCCGCCATGTTTTGGTTTGGCCACCCCTGGATTTCTTCTAACCTACTCCTACACTACAAAGCATGGCTCGTCGGGGCAGTCGATAGCTGGATATTCGTAACCCATGTCTGAACCATCTCCACTGGTGAAGTCTCAATACCTTTCTATTGACCTGCCATCCTTACCTTACTCGGTTGTCCCATGATGCTCGAGCAATGCTTCGGAGACACCTGTGATTGAAAACCGGCAACCTACGAATATCTTCTACTCTGACTGGCCATGTTTCACAGCCGTAAAGTAGGACGGAGCGAACTACCGCGCAGTACAGTCATCCTTTGGTCAGCAAATGGATATCTCGCCTTCGCCATAAGTGATGCAAGTTGGCAAAAGCCAATCGAGCTTTCTTTATCCGTGGTGAGATTTCGTCACACACCAGGCCATCAGGATTGATGAGACTCCCGAGATAGCGTTCAACATGCTCAACTGTTTCATTCCCTATCACTAGTTTAGGTGTTGACGCAAGCCAAACTTGAAGCAACACATTGCATTTCAAGGGGGCAAACCGCGTCCCGAACACGCTAGCATCGTTGTTTAAGGTAGTCAGGAGACACTGCGTTTTGTCAGCGTCTTCACAAAATGTCATCAGCAAATTCTAACTCAGCAAGCGTGTCTCCTGGTAAAAGGTCCACTCATGAAGAGTCAGACGATGATAAGATCCACCCAGGTGTCCTTTCTTTACACTTAATCTACCTACTTGAGCATTAAAGTCACCAGCGATTATTACTGTATCAGAGCCCCTAACTTTTTGAGGACGGTTAGAGAGGTTTCTATAAAACTCCTCTTTTATCTTCTCCGAGCTGTCAGATTAATTCAAGTGATACCAATTCTAGTAGTAATAGAAGTGGTAATATGATTTGTGAGATAAAACTATTTCAAGACTAATTAAAATAAAACTTAGGATCTAAGGGAAGTCATTATAAGGTCTACATATTCATAACAATAAAAGTGGATATGTATCACTATGGTGGAGTGATAAGATTGAAGACATACAAAGTGTTGTAAATAATCATTATATGTGAGAGACAATTCTGATTCATCAACAGATAATTTTAGGCAAAGTGAATTCATTTCGTGACCCTAAATTATTCACTTATATACACCGGGTGGCGTAAGTAAATCAAATGTTTTACAAATGCAATTTTTACGTAGCATACATAGTCATTTAGCTCACTTCAATGAATAGTGGAAATTACTTTTGATATTCATGCAAGTCCAGTTTATGCACGAAATAAGTAAGCAAGAGTTAGACCATTATGTTATCGAGTACGAGGAACACATGCAACTTATTATGGTTGGGGTAGACAAAATGATGAAGTTGATAGTTATGCACGGCAATAGTAAATTACTCAATATTGATAACAACAGTTGGAGATTATATGAAAAACCTCTATCCATACGAATCAAGGAAAATATTGAAGATACAGTGCGCACAAAAGCAATCCAATTCATTATGTAGTGTTTATTGTCCTTGGTTTATGTTTGGTGTAGACTAATTAGGATTCCTTCAGTTTGAACTACTTTTCACAGTACCAGCAGTTATCAGGTTCGAAACCTTTTGAATTGGATCTGTGTTCATAAAGCTACTTGATTGTATTACTTCGTGACTGCTATTTTCAAACAAAGTTCCTTAAGATTTCATGTCGACATCATGATCGTTTTTCATTTGAAATACCAGCACATTCTGTAGCAAAGTATTTTGGTTTCCTACGTTTGTCTCTGGGTCAGTTTCACTTAGTTTTCAACGTTTGTGTCCCATCTATATATAATTATCGGAACCTTAGTTAATCAATACACATTTACATTCCACAGCATATTTTTAGGAAGCTTCAGTGCCACCATCATCGTATGTTGCGCTACTAAAAAACGATAAGGATTATCAGTTTGTTTCACTCACATTACTATGCATTGACTGTTTTCTATTCATTAGACTTAAGAAATTGTAAGATGCTGTTTTTGTATGGAGGACTGTAATGATCCAATATGTTTTCCACGAGCTAGTATAAACCGATTGACTTCTTTGCGCTCAATCCTTGTTCTTTCGGTATGGTTCCAGGCGTTTGGTAGTATCCAATGAATGAGGGTCTAGCAACTCGACTGTCTAATTCTAGTCATTTGGCAGTTGGTTGTGATTTTGTATGTCCCGTGATTTGAATGGAAACGTTTGTTTAAGGGTATTAGGGTTTCTGGATACCAGCAGCTATCACATTACCAGAGCGGAGATCAATTAGTTGCTATGTGGAGAATAATGGAGAGAAAATTCTAATGCTAATAAGAAGATTTCAGAACTAAGTAAGTCAATAGATAATTTAATTTGATAATTGATAGTGAAGATTGTGCGAGAGGACCATGTTGTAAGCAAGGGAACGGGAACAGAGATAATATGCAAAATAGATTAAGTTAGTGATCTGCGGAGTTGGCAATAATAACGACTAGCAAGTCTCAAGGCATGCATCAAGCACAGCTTGTCCACGAGTACGTGTTTATCAAGTCTCTTCTTAAAGCTCTCGACTGAGTGGGCTGTGGTCACCTCAACTGCGAAAGCATTCCATGTTGCAACAACTCTTGGAGAGAAAAAGTGTTTGCGAACCTGAGTATTCGCTCTTTGATGAGCAATTTTTCCCGGATTCCCTCAAGGGCAGTGATGGTGACACATAGGTAAGGTGCTCATGCTGGGCGTTTATCTTCGTAAGGTTTGTTCTTCAACCCTACCACCAGTTTCGTTGTTCACCTCTGCACTCGATCAGAGGTCATTAATGTCTCTTTTAAACAGGGGGTGTGTGATGACATTGTAAACCTCGAAGTGTGGGTGCGCGTACGTCTTATACAAAGTTTAGAATAACTGTTGGATGATAGTGTAGCGGTATACTTTTACGAAGAAAACGCAACTGCTGAAATATAAACATTTATTATTGTGCTTAATCCTGACAATAATTGTTATATTGTAGTCCTTCTGTTTGTCTGTACTAAAGACTATCGCGCGCCAAGCGTGTCATTCCGACTCCACTCTTCTCCTCACTTGTTGTTATCAGCTGCTATACCCTAGTCTCGTCATTATTTCAATATCACGAGGCTAGCGATAAATATACTTCTTCATCCAGAATAGTCTTTTCTTTGACTTCCGGATTATCGGGATTTAAATTAGTAACCCCTGAAAGAAATATATTTGTTTCGACTTACCATAACATCATCCGGAATGTTGTCGTAGACAATGTACCTCAGTCACACCACGCATCCAGAAATAGAAGAACATAGGTTACGTACGGCCCTGATCGCTTGCTATGGGCGAAGAGGAGAGCATGACACAAGGGGAAGGTTACGTTGAAGGATTCCGACCGTAGTTCTTACTTGGTATTGAAAAACAGATGCACTATCAAAGTTAGAAGTGATATGAGACGCTTTCAGATAAGGCTAAACCAAGCCGTTTGTACACCCTCTGGACTCAATTTTATTTCGATATAGTGAGGCTAGCACTAAATATACTTCTTACTCTAGAATCGTCTTTTATATG